ATATATACATATATATATATACACATATACATATATACATATATATACACACACATATACATATATACATATATATACACACACATATACATACATATATATACACACACATATACATATATACATATATATACATATATATACACACACATATACATATATACATATATATACACATATATATACACATATACATATATACATATATATACATATATATACACATATACATATATACATATATACATATATATACACATATACATATATACATATATACATATATATATAAATATATACATATATATACACATATACATATATACATATATATATACATATATATACACATATACATATATACATAAATATATACATATATATACATATATACACATACATATAAATATATATAAATACATATATATATATCAGAATGTCTTTATTGTCCTTATATGCAAGTACAATGAAATTAAGAGCCACTCCTTTATATATATATATATATATATATATATATACATATATACTCCATTTTAGCACAACCCTAACAACCCTGTACAGTCTGACATTAAAAACACTGACAATTTTCTATATTTTCAATATTTCCTAATCTACACACATAAAAGCACACACACATTATCGTCATTCTACACTTCCACCAATCATGTCTTCTGAAAGGCCTCAAGTCAGACAAAGGGCACTTTGTGTACCATCTCTCCACAGAACCAGTACCAGCCCAAACCCAGTCAGTAACCTCCTGGTACAAAAATACAAAAGTCAGTGCTGCTTTTCATTAGTGATCAATGAGAAACGCATTGATCCTTTCTTTGGGTCACAGAGTTCACCTCATCTGAGGCGATAAGATATTAATAAAGCCCTGCAGATGCTACAGATGACTCTGTTCTCACAATTTGTGTTCTGAAAAAAGAAAAATCAGACGTGTGCAGGTGTGCGTGTCTTCTAACCTGGTCAAAGAGCTGTTTGCCAGTTGTGTTTGGCTGGATAGCAAACTCCAACTCAGCATCCATGGTAGTGACGCGCACATTGATCTGCAAAAACAGAAGGAAAAAAAACAGAAATGTGAGTCTAACTGATTTTCAGTTTAGGTGAAGTGAAGTCTCACATCATTTACCTCTATGAGGCTGCTCTTACTGAAATGTTACTGCTCAAATCATAAAGGTAATATTCGTATGTTTGGCAGAATTTTTTGAACCATTCTAGTTTTGTGCAAATAAAACATATTTTCTACTTTTGAAAATACAGTAGTCCCTCGTTTATCTCGGGGGATCCGTACACTGAAGCCCAGCGATAGGTGAAAAAACTGCAAAGTAGGAATTGTAACAAAAGCAGAAAATAGTCTACAAAGTATTGTGTATATATATATATATATATACATATATATATATATATATATAAATATACATATACATATATATATAAATATACACATACATATAAACACACACACATATACAAATATATATATATTATATATATATATATATATATATACACACATATATAAATATATACATATATACATACACACACATATATATACATATATACATA